TCCCGAATTACGAGCAGTTGTCCCGAACCCTTTCCGGTTTGTCCCGAAAATTAGACCTAACATGAGTTTTGATTATAGCCTAATTAAACATATACTGATTGTTGTATAGTTCGCTTGCTCCAGCAGGGGTTACAGGTTATCTGTACATTGTGTCAACAGCGTTGTTATAGTCACAAAGTAAGACTCGTCGTGCTCTTTTCCCCTTTTTGTTTTCTTGTGGTTAGTGGAATTTACCGTCGCGAGGACAGGGAAAGTGTAGCTTCAGGCAGCCACGGCACGGCGGAGAGATCTGACATGCGCGTTGCGCAGACAGATGACACTGCAATGATTACATGAATAAAATAAATATAAAAATGAGGTAAAAGATCATGATTTACCTACATATCCACAGTTGTATTTTTCCTAATAACAGACAGGTGACTTCATGAACAAAAATAATTAATTTAAGCACACAATATATTTCACACGATTTGCAGTAACGTCAGCTTACCTGTCCAATAGGATGAAAGCCAAATCTGTCAGTTTTGAAAACAGAGCGGAGGACTCTTCATGAATGACTTTAACAAATGACATGAATGTTGACCATGTTTTTGCCCAATGTCCATTGTGATTTGACCTGACGGGCTTCATTACATAAATTTTTTTGTTGTTGTTTTTTATCCTTACGTGGAGTTTGTGTCTGTGTTGTACTGGGAGCCAGTCCTTTTTTTGGTTTTAGCTCCATTTCATCAGCTGCGGTGTTGTTGCTGTTGAGTGCAGAATCAGCAGGCAAGAAGAACTGGAATGCACATGAGGGTCAGAACCTACGTAAGCTGATTTCTTCACATAGGAGGCAGCATAGAGGGTGTTACAAGGCACTTAGAAAGCTGGCAAATGGTTTATTTTATGTGAGGTTAGAACCTGTTCACAAATAGGTAATAAAAAGTGATTACTTATATGCCCTTTGAGTAAAGATACTACTTATGCCTTTATCTAAAGCTGGGGTAGGCAATTTACTTCAGAAGAATTTTTTGTTATACTTGTTGAAATTGTGTTTACATCCCAACAGCAATCAATAAATCAAATTCTCTGACACACAATTAAAAAAAAAAAACCCTATCTGTGGCAGTCAACTGCAATAAACACTGCCAATCATTTCATTAATTGACTGGCCTACCTACCTACCTGTACGTGCTGTGCCTATGCACTTTGGTGGGAGGCATGAAGGATGGTGACGGGATTTTTTCAGTTGGATACTTTCAAAATCTAGTATTCTTTGCTCGTTTCTCCAATGTTGCCTACCCCAGTTCTCAATAAGACTTTGGATGGAGAACTGTTACTTCTAGTTTAGTTTTTTCCATGTGGTGTTGGTACTGTGGATGTTTTTTATCACTGGCCTGTTTGAAGTTTCCTGTCTCTCCATCGAACTGATCATGCATGTGTGTGTGTGATAGCATGTGTATACAGTTGGAGAAACGAGGCCAGATATGGGTGTGACTGTCTAGCTGACTGCAACAGTTTTTACACGCTTTTCGATATGCATGTGCAGACACACACACAGAAACACACACACACACACACACACACACACACCTACTAAGGATTTTTGCTCTTATTTACCCACTCTGTTCAATTACATTCCTCATTCATCAGGCTAGGTTAATTCTCCAGCCTGAGGTTGTCGTTTTTGTTACTTCCAGGAGCGCCCTGATTTGTGAAGGGAACACCTGTAATATGGCTCCGCGAGGCAAGCCTCCGGTACTAAACTAAGCCTGTGAGGGCTCAAACACACACTGACACACACACACACAGAGTCAGATATTCCCTGCCAGTCTCCTTCAAGGACGCCTGGGGAAGACTTGGAGGACAAAATCACACACTCCCTCTCCCAGTGTCTCAGACGCGCTGCGTTTCTAATGCAGACAGAAAGCCTCCTCCAAAGAGACTAGGCACACACAAGCTCTCTCTCTCCCGCACAGACACACACCCTTACACTTACACACACTTAAACTTACAAAACCCCTGAAAGGCCCTTCCACCTTCCCATCCATGTGAGAAGAGCAGGACTTTTTCTGTCTGTGTTGTTTCTCTTATTGTCACTCTCTCCTGCTCTCAGCTGTTTCAGGCTGTTGAGTATGTGTGTGTCGATGTGTGTGTGAAGTGGAGGGCTCACTGGGACTCTTTGACGACCTCATTCACTCCCCCCCCCCCCCCCCGGCCTCACCATAGCCGACATGCCCGACAATGAGGCGGGAGGGTGGGAGTCGGACAAAAAACACTGAATGTGTCTTCATTTGCCTGAACTTTTCACACGTCTTTTTCCTTTTGTTGACGGCCGCCCGTTCACTATAGTGCTGCGAGCCGCTCCGCCAGTTTCCGCTGGCAAGACAGCCAACCGAAGCACCCCCCACCCTCCCCTCCCTTGTCACCCCTCTCCACTCCTTTCCACAATGTTAAGCCCATTTTTAGCTTGACATAATCTGAAATGGTACTTAAGTGAATTTATGTCTACCTCAGTGCATTAACTTCTGCTATTTCCTCCTTTATGTTGCTTCTTTTTTTTCTTTTTTTGAGGCGGGTGCAGCGACAGAGGGAGCAAGAGGGAGGGAGAGATTTGAAACTCAGACCACGGAGTAGACAGCCTATCAGTATTCAGTAGAGAAAGTGAGTGATGGAGAGAGAGAGAGAGAGACGGGGAGAGAGAGAGAGAGAGAGAGAGAGAGAGAAAGGAGGAGGGGGTGATGTATCAATATTCTGAGTAGTGTTTGAGGGCAAGGGGAACGAACAGAGGAGAGGGGGAAGGAGGGAAGGAGGTTGGTGGGAGAGAGAGTACTTGAGTGAGTCTCTGAGTGTGATTATTTGTTCACGTATACGTTTGCATGTGTGTTTGTGCATCTGCGATCGTGTGTTTACCTTTGTGTTTGTATGTCTGAGCACATGTTGGCTATAGGTTGTACATACAGTTAGTGGAGGAATGTAAAGTACATTTACTCAAGCACTGTACTCTGGTGCAATTCTGAGGTACTTGTACTGAGGTACTGGAGTATTTCCATTCTGTGCTGCTTTATTGACTATTGAGAGCGGGAGACCCTGACTGGCTTACTAAAGAATTCAAACATTTATTAACACAACCATTGTTAATGGTTTACTAGCCTCCCTCCTCCATCACTTAGACAGGCCAACAGTTTTTGTAATTCTCAGGTAAGAGTAGTGCCCAGAAAATACCACTAAAATGTATCCAAAGTTTTGCCTGATATGATTAAAGAAGACCAATTGTTATTAAAGGCTGCAGCTTATGTATTAATATCAGAACATCATTAAATGTTTTAGATATTTTTGCAACAGGCAGTGTGTGGTTTAGTGGTTTTTGGTGTAGACGTGGAGAATTTTCTTCTTGGCCTTTGTTGCTGCATTGCTGCATATCTTGACGCCACCTGTAGATTAGTGGGATAGTGGGCGCTCAGTTATAGAAATGCAGCTCCGTAGCACCACTTGAGGTCAAAAACTCGACAGGGAACCTTTAATGAGCTTCTGGGAAAGGGTGACCCGTTTTGTTTTTACCTTAGAGAAATATTGGCTTTAAACAGTAAATTTACTGAATGGCTGAAGGGCCTTTATATTCATCCAATGGCAGTGGTGATCACCACCAGGTGGGGTGCTGGTTATGGTGCTTACTGTCTCCACTTCTGTTTGCACTTGCAATTGAGCTGTTAGCTGAGGTAATCTGGTGTGATGCTAATTTGTACTTCAAATCCACTACATTCCAGACAGAAAAATGCTTTTTACTCAGCTACATTTATTTGATAGGTATAGTTACTTTGCTGACTAAGATTTTACATACAAAACACACTTAAAACAAATAAATAAAATTTGATGTTTATAGACTAAACTTCCCAACAGTATATAAAGGGGTTAAAATTAGCTCCACCTTCACAAGCTAAAACATATAAATGCTGCTTACATTTCAGTGCATCAGTAATAACAATATTATATTAATATCTGTAATATTATACCAGGCATGGTATGAGTATTTTCTCTTTTGCTGTGCTGTTAATAGGTCTGCACTTGTACTTAAGTAAGGTTGTTCACTTACATGTATTATGTGAGGCTGTTTGTAGGAGTGTACTTGTATTGATCAAATTGTGGGAACAAAAATCTGTTCACACAGTCACATTATGGGGACTCACCTTCCGTTTGAGGACAAAAATACACTGTCCTCCTGAAAAAAACAACAGCCTTTGTCATTTGTTAAAATGCCTAAAACGACTTTTATGTTTACTTGACAAAGACCTCTTGTGGCCTTCTGAATTTATTCTCTTTTGCGTCAGAAGCAAAGGCAGAAGTGGCGTGACATTGTTATATTATGAATGGATTGGTCAACAAATCGTATGACACTAGAGACCGCTAAAAAACCCCGTTAATTTGGATGGGAGAACTGTAATTTCCATGTTTTTATGAATGAATGGAGTGAACCATGATCAGAAAATGCAGAAAATGGTGATATAAATGATTATTTTTATAACAAAAAAAAATTGTAGGATGACTCGTTGGATAGAAATGTGTTACCCTCAATGGAAAACATCAAATTGTCAGGTTAAAACTTAAGGTTTAGGTTCGGGTAAGTTTCCAAGCATGAATCCCAGTCAGTGTGATGTCCTCCTCAGTGACAAAAACAAGTTTGTGTGTGTGTGTGTGTGTGTCTGTGTGTGTGTCTGTGTGTTTGCACGGGACAGGAGTCACAGTTTACAATACGTGTGGATGTGATGGAATCTCCCACTTGTTTCAGTCATCCCTTCTCTCTCACTCTCTCTCTCTCACTCTCTCTCTCTCTCTCTTTTACTCTGGCTGCTAATCAGCATTTGAAAGGCAGCTTTGACACTGAGAAAGAAAGTGAGGGGGGCACAGGGAGGTGGGGGTAAACGAAAGCATCAGACACAGTGAGTTAGGGAGGGAGAGCCGGAGAGAGACTGAGGCAAGGGGCTGTACAAGCATGCCTTTTATATTTACTAGTGACAGAGAGAGTGAGAGAGGGAGAGAGGGAGCAGCTGAAGGCAGAGACAACTGGTGTGCACGGCTTTCCCAAGAGGAAATGAAAAGAAAGAAGCTGAGCGAGGAGAGTGAATGAGTGAGCGGGAGAGAGGAAGGGTGGGAGGGAGCATGCCGGCTGGAGAGAGAGAGAGAGCAAGAGAGAGAAAGAGACGGAGTGAGAGAGAGAGAGAGTGCGAGGAAGAGATTCTCACACTGGCTGTGTCCTAATCCGAGTCCATCTCCAAGAAGCAGCGGAGCAGAGTGTTGGTGAAGTGAGTCTGAGAGCCAAGGAGAGCTACATCAGCTAGCTCCACTCACACACACACACATACACACACACACACACACACACACACGCGCACACACACACATATATATACTCTCACTCTCCCTCTCTCTTTCATACACTCACTCTTTTTTGCAACGGGAGTCCTCGATGTGTCGGGCTGCACGAATACTGCTTTTGTGAAAGTGAGGGGATTGACGCTGCCCCTGTCCCAGCCCCCTTGGCTCACACACACAGTGTTTGTTTGCTGTGTTTAAGCTCGAGGTGCCGGTGGAGGTGGTGGTGGTGGTGGTGTGGTGCTGGGGGCACCGTCAGGGCAGACAGAGCAGGGGCTCCGGAGAGGAAAAGAAGAAGAAGAAAAAGAAGAGGAGGAGGAAGAGAGAGAGACAAAGTGGATCAGATCAACAGCAGCAGACTGAACACTGGAAATGCCTGTCAGGTGAGTAGATAATGGATCTTACAACTTATGGTCAGCGCACGCACACACACACACACACACACACACACACACACACACACACACACACACACGCACGAGTGTTGTTCTCGCTCTCCTGCTTGATTTTCTCACACACTCTGGACACGCACGCACATACGGCCCGCTATAAAGTTGTCACCTTGATTTTGATGGGTCCGTCTGTTGTCAAATCTTGATAACGATTCAATCAAAGAAAGGGTTTCATTGTAACTTGTCAATTTTACACCTCAAGTAGTTTTTTTTTCTTATTTTCTCTGAGATAAAATATCAGCATGTATGCAGCGGTGGTAACTTTTTGCGGAGTCTAATTAAGAACTGAAGACAAATATTCCACAATTATCACATATTATCAGATTTATTTGGCTAAATTGGCACATGACAACAATTAGTAGAAAGCCAAAATTATTTAGTTATTAAATTATAAAATGCGAATAAGAGTTTTATTTAAAAAAGGACCTTTCCTCTACTTAATAGGGTCGCTTTGGACCGTGTGGCAGCATGTTTAAATGTATATTTGATTACAGAAAATACATAGAAAAATGTGCATATTTTATAATAAAAGCATACATTTATAATTTACTATAAATGAACATTGATAATAGACTAAACATTTGCTCTTCCTTGAAAGCACCATTACTGCTTTTACACAAAGTTCTTCTTCTGTGCTTTTAATCAATTTAATGTAACTGATCAAACATTTTCACTGCAAATATCCTAATCTTTGCTTTTCAGATAAGCCGAGTAATTATGGATGTTTATGTTCTGTGCTTAGTGATCACGATAATAATGGCCCACCACTTTCAGATAAAGTCAGTGTGTGTGTGTGTGTGTGTGTGTGTGTGTGTGTGTGTGTGTGTGTGCGCGCTGGAGTTTGAGATACAGAAGCAGGGAGTGAGCGGCTGCGTGTCCGTCTCCACCTGCAGAGGCAGAATTGGTCACAGTTTACTGGCTTAGTAACATTCTGTGCCTTCAGGGTGTCTGCAGCAGGTGGTCCAAATTGGTAGAATGACTGTGACAAACGCTCAGTGTTCGCTGCTGCTGTAAAGTAAATAACAACATCAAACCATCACATAGTGATTTCAGGTTTTTCAGCGTGTTTTTCTTCTTCTTTCTCTTTTTCATAATTTGCAATTGTTACTGTTATTGTGGTTAGAGGCTTGTCACCTAGAGTAAACGTAAGTCCGTCAGAGTAGTGGAACGGTTATTTCACAAAGGAAAAAATGTGCGGGTATGCACGAGTGTGTGCACATAAGAGTATTTGTATGATTTCCTGCAAGACTCCCTATTTGTACGTGTTTTTCTTGTCCATAGAGAGATGTTTGTGTTGAATGTTCTCTCCCAGAATGTTGCGCACACAGCCAAACAGCAACCTTTACACACACACACACGCACACCTGCAGAGATAGCAGGTGCGTCAGATAAATTCAAATCAGATCACTACCTGCAGTACAGAGTCACTCTTTCAAGTGTCAGGAAGAGAGTGTCAAAATGTTACTATTAGTAACAACTAGCTACTGTCCATGCTCACATGTAATCTGGCAGTTTTTAGCTACTTACTGCCATAGAGCAATATTTTTTAAATCGTTTTCCACTTTTTTAAAATTGTATGTGAAGAATATTTGTACTTACTGTGGACATTTCTTCAGTAAAAATTTGATAAAGCAGCGATGCGTGGATGTAGCAACGCTGACACGAATGGGGTCAGACAATGGTACAGTTTATACCCTGGCCCTCTGAGCCACTAAGCCTCTCCATCCGTTTTAGCTCTTGCATGTGCAGGACGCTTTGGTCCTGACCCACCATTAGGCCTTTTTTATTAGACCCAGATGCAGGCATCTTCCCTGGCTTTTGGATTTAAGCAGCTGCAGTCCATGCCAACAGGCAACTGTGTGACAGACCCTGACTCGGATTACTTTGTGAAAATGAAAACGTTGGCAGCGAAGAGTTCCTGTTTGAAGACGGCAGACAAAGCTGAAGTAAATTGAATAAAAAGGTATTTGGGGTTGTTCTGAGGGCAGGCAGATAAAGCACCACTTTAACTTTTCTGCCCAATCAAAGATCAGCGCTTGTGTGTGTGTGTGTTTGTGATGATGCTGCGAGGTTAAAGTCTGGTTTTCTTTGCCAGTCAGATATGTTCTCTGTATTCATTTTACAGAAATAATGATCACAAGAGTAGATAAAGTGAATATTAGTAATTTATAAAAGTATCTTGGTTGGTAGACAGAAGCTGACAACCACTTTTTGAGAGTTCTCAGGTACACACCTCCCCTCTCCCTCCCTTCCTCTTTCCATCCCTCTTTTGATATTTCTGTCTCTCTCTGTTGCTCTCTCTTACACACACACACTAAGGTGGTCAGTGTCTGGCGTGTTGACAGACAGCCGCTCACACACGCCTTGCTCTCTGTGCATGCATGCATGTGTGTGTGTGTGAAGAGTGTTGACAGACATTGTGTGGGTCTGTGACAGAGGGTGTCAGCGCGGTGTCAGGGAGATGTGTTTAGTGTCACACTCTGCTGACCTGATCTCCGGTCGGACTGTCCACTCCGGCCCCGCTGTGGCTCCTTACATAACCCCCGCTGTCATTCACACATCCGCCTGAAGGGATCCACCAGGCCGTGCACACACACATACACACGCACACACACACACACACACGCACACACACACACACACACACACACACGCACACACACACACACACACACATGCAGTTCCTTAGTGACGTGCAGATGATGTATAGGCATCCGCACTTATATCCACTTTCCCTCTAAATTGACTGTCAGGCCAGGTGCAGTCTGCAAATCTTCCTTACAATCACACTTTTTTTCTTCTTTGGTGTTGTCTAATTTATGCAATGACATAAAGCAGAAGTTAAATAAAATTTACACTATATCTGGAAATATTCAAAAAAGCATCGAGCTCTCCAAACAGTATGTGGGAATATAGTATGAGGCCAGCGAGTCTCCTGGTTTCCAAGACACCTACACAACTTGCAACTCTTTATCAAGAGTTTGACACTGCTCTGAGCTCTGACATTTGCACCATGCTAATTGAAGTGTCTATATTAGCATGTGGACATCTCTGTGCTGGTGTACAGAATAAGAGTGTGCTTTCAAGTCCATGCGTGTATGCATGTGACCCTCTGTGCTGTGCTTTGGCCTATGGTTATTTGGAGGTCAGTGCTGATGTGGTCTCTGCCTGCAGGAGTGGATTTACCATCCTCTGCCTTATATAGAGACCTGCATCCACTTAGCTGACTCTTCAGCAGTCAGACGGAGAAGTTTTTTGTCTTCGTTCTATCTTTTCTGTTTGTTCAACAGTAACTTTTACAATTTGGGGAAGATTTTAAATGGAGAAACACTGTATATTAATCATACAAGATATCATTATTCTCCTTACATGTGACCATTCAAAATAAGAAGCTTTTATCATTGACTTTCCCTCTAAGTCCTGCTTTTCACCTTTAGTCTGGCCTAACATTGAGGTTGGGGTAGTTAACCCCAGGATAGATGGCAGCTATTATTTTGACTTGTGCTATTTTATTGACCCAGGATTTTCTCTTTCAAGTGTAGATATCATAAAGGCCATAGATGCTTAACTTCATGATGGAGTGAACACTTTTACTTAATGCGTTCCTTCTTATTGCTTTTTTGCAACTCTGAAAGTTATCTACTCTTAGATGGATTGTACTTTGTTTTGTATTTATACATTTGAGTTTCTCTGGTGAACCATCTTAATGTTTAGCTCTTCATATTGAAGTTGAAATTGTATCCCTATTCATCATACTATCACTCTCAGTGTTGAGCCTTCATCTCTTTGTGCCCTTTCCAAACTAACCCTCAGATATATATAAATTGTATATTCATCAACCCTACTCATCTGTTTTATTTGGATTATTTTGTTGTTCCAGAAGCCATAAATAAGACACTACCATGTTACTCCTTCAAGTTCTAAAAAAGGCATATAAAGTATGCATCCTTCTTCAAGTTGTTATACTTGTTTTGCTGCTTAAATCTTTTTCATCACTTTCAGTATTGAGTGAGGAATGACATCCAGTTTTTTTCATTTAAAATTCACAGGAGAGCGAGCTTTAGAGAGTAGGTATTTTTTCTGGTAAACACTGTAAATTTATATGATTGTGTGCGCTGAGACTTTCAAGTTCATAATACAGTGTAGGTGAAGTGGAGCATCTCTTTTGTGTAAACTCAGGCCAAGGTAGATGGTAATTATGACAGGCATGGATTGAATTCTACGTAGCTCTACGCCCGTGAGGAGTGGACATCAAAGCATGCTCACCAAAGCCCTCTGTAATAAAAGAAGAGGAGGAGAAAGTTATTGATTACCGAGGATGAACATTAGCAAATCTCTTTCTCTCTCCTTTTCTTCGTGTATGTCTTCATCCATCCATCATTTCTCTCTTTCTGTCTCTCTCTCTCTTACTGTCTGATTTGCCTCCCTCCACCTCAACGTATGTTCCCTCCATCCCCAATCTGCTCTCCATCCACCCCTCTGCCCCTCTCTAATCATTTATTTATCGCTGATGTCTTTATTCTGTATTCTTCCAGTTTAGGGACGGTCCACGCCGTGAATATACAGAGCTGCTTCACTCACACAGGCTGTTATCGTCATTCATTTACACCCTTCCCGAACCCTCCTCTTCCTCCTCATCACTGCAGAGATACCTGGGGGCGGGTGGGGTCACTCTGGTCCAATCTAACGCTGTATTGATTCCATTAGATAATTAATGACCCAGGCAAGGGCCAGGGAGGAGGAAAGAGGGGGTTAGGAGAGATGGGGGCGTGGGGGGTGAAGATGATGGGCAAGGCGGGGGTGGGGGGGGTGATTGGACGCCAAGGCCCTTGAGAGTTGGAGAGAACCTTGGGTTGGGAATGATCCAGAGTCATCAAGGTCAACCACAGCCGGCGCTCCGATACGGAAGCAGAATACCGAGCGAGTCCGAATATGGAATACTGAGAGAGAGGGGGGGATCTTCATGTCCAGCAGCTGTCGATTGATCAACGGCTGAAAAATTGTACATTAAAAAGTCTTTTGACTTCCAAATCCTGAGGTCCAACCAGGGCCGTAATGCATGATAAGTAGTTTTCAGCCCTCCAACCAGAATACCAAACTTCATCTCCCCGGACACTCCAGACACTCATTTACAACTACTCAACAACATGAAAGGCAAGATAGAAAACTAGCTACATCAAATATTCTGTTCATGTTATTTCCAGCCATGTTTTCTACATCTTCCATGATATTGAGCGCTCTCCATTTGATAAATATTATTCACAGGAATATCTTACATCGCTGTTGTATGTGCAGTCCACTCCTACCTTTAGTTGGAGATAATTAAAGATGGGTGGGGGTTGGAAATAGAGAAGAAAGCTGTCTCAAAACTGCTGGCAGTAAAATCTTATTTGAGTAAAGTGAAAAATGACCAGAATGGCTGCTACGCACAGTTTTGACGTTAGGTCAAAACTAATGCCAGCTTCTTTTGGATTTTGGAGGGGCAATTTTATTTTATAGTATGATTTGAGAGCGCTGCCTAAAGGCATTTTGCAAAGGGCTGCATATTGCATATCGCAGATAAATAAGTCCTTCGAGCCCCTTGCATGTTCTTGTAGGGGTTGCAAGTATGGAGATTTGTTTTGTTTTTTTGATTAGTGAAAGTGCCAAAAGTAATGGGAGAGGCACTTATCTGAAATTATAGCTTGCGTGTTGCAAATTTGGTGAAACAGGCCCCAGGGATGTTACAATACGCTACCAGGCTAACTACAAGGCCATCAGAATGCCAACGCCAATGTCAACTTCTAAATCAAGTTCTTGGATCTTTCTCAGGCTCACTAAAATCCTTCAGAATTTGTTAAAGATCCCCAGAACTGGAACTATTCTCCTCTTCCTGCACATTGCAATAGGCTTGGCCTTGCACTTCACCTTTGCATGATCGCGGCATGCATGTCGTCTCCAGTGGGCTATGAGAGATCCTCTGCCTCCGCATTCACAGTCTTGGCCAGCCTCTGTATTGGGCCCCAGGGGTTGGAGAGATGAGGCATAAAACAACCATGTCTCTACCTAGGGGAGCTGGTGGAATGGCAGTGGGGCTATTGTCTGTCTGCGTGCTGTTTGACTTAAATGTGTTCATTTGCCTGATGCCCCTGACTCCCTACGGGGAGGGGCGGCTCGGGGAGAGGAGGGGCACGCTAACGAACCTCTGACAGCTGGAGGCCCTAATTAAAAGTCCCTGCTGAAAATAAACAGAGCGGGAGCCAAGCGAGCAGCCAGAAAGAAACGCATGGCAAACAGCGGCTGTGAACGCTCGCCGCAGTGCCCTCCTCTCTGTTGCTGTTGAGACCGTGCCAAGAGAGCACAGCTCTATAGGGTAGGGGTCTCAAACACACACTCACGTATAGACCAACATACACCGCGCTTATGAATATGTAGCACTGCAGCAACACATTTTGAACACCTGCGGTCACACTTGATACAGGTTGATCTCTACAGCTGTGGGCGCAGTATATTTTTACTGCCAGTCCTCTCAGAAGTCACACTTTCTTTTTTCCATATATTTCCCACTGTGCCATTACAGAATAAGTCGACTCAGCTCTACTGGGCGGATTGTTTCACACTCACTGTCTGTATGACACTTCTGACATTCAGCCTGTTGTGCTGCTAGCTAGCCGGAGCATTAGCAGTCAAAGTGGCGGGGTCCATTTGGGTGAGTGCATTAATGGGCCACCCCAACCTGTGACAAGGTTATGAGGCTGATTGAATAATTACTGTGGAGGCCCCTGTCCATTACGCCCCTGTGTCTGCCCAGATAGAGAGTGACGCAGAGAGAGATGGAGAGATAGTCAGAGACAGAATGATGGAGCGAAAGATTAGATAAGCACAGATAGGGTCAATTAAGAGATAAACATACAGGTATGGGATGAAAAAGGGCCGTACGTGTGCATGTTTGTGAGGCAGTGAAAATTTGAGGGTAAATTGTTTCCTGCCCGTGTCTCCTTTTTGATCGCTCTATCCTACTGTGCGGAGCCACATTTGGCAGGTAGTGCATTTATCCAGGTGAGATAGAGAAAGTGACAAAGGTGAAGTTGTTAGACAGAGGTGGGCTGCCCTCTGCTCGACCCTGTCTTCTCTTCACCAGACTCTGTGAAAAGAGAACGGTCAATGTTGTAAGCTGGAAGCTTGAGAGGAAAAGATTTTGGTTTTCTAAAATTGAATGAAGCCTAAGCCTAAAACAAAATATTTTACCAATGTAAGTGCCCTGGGAAGTGGTTAAATATAGGGCTGGAAAATTTAACAGATTGATCAAATTAGCAACTTTAGTAGTAGTAATTCTCTGAATCCTACATAATAAAACTTTAAAGAACCATTGATATCTCACCAAACATTAAACCATCCAATCAGCCAGCAGTTCAGTCCAGAAATCCAGAAACTTAATTAGTTGTACTGCAATTAATCATGCATTGATGTATTTAAAAAAAAATTACATTTATGTCTGACGGTCTATTTTGATAGAGATTTTTCTTTATATATCACCCAGCCCTAGTTATTGCCCAATGTAGTGCATTGTATATAAATACAATAAATAGCTATATAAATGGCTATATATTTTAGCCATTTCTCTTGGGATGGGTTGGTTGGTCCAGCACTTTGTTCCAGAGTATGACGTTTCTCATCTCTTGCTATGAAATGTGCTACAGATATCCACGGTGCCCTGAGGATGAAGCCTGCTGACTTTTCCTGTAGCAGTAAAACATTACATTTTGTCCAATACATTGGTTTATGGTCAAATACCTGTAAAACTGATGAGTTTCCCATCAGCCTCAGTCGTACTTTGTGTTTGCTGATGAAAATGATAGCATGCTTTAAATTAAGATGTTAAATATTATACTTGCTAAACATCAGCATGTTTGCATTGTCATTGTGAGCATGTTAGCATGCTGAGGTTAGCAGTTAGCTCAAAGCACTGCCATTTGTGTGGCCGTGGACTTGTTTAGTGAGCTGTAAGTACACTTTTTAAACTCTGTTAATTCATGCATTCTGATCCAATATTGCATGGTTGAAGGAGATACTGGGAGGTATATATTCATACTATACCCACTTCTCAGTTTCTGCTGAGGCCAAACTTTCCATCCCTGACCTAGGATCATGTTAGCAGTAGAAAGCACACATTTCTGCTTTACTATCGCTGCCTAAAACTACTAAAGGTAAGTGGATGACCTAATCTCCCCTTTCAACAACTATTCTCTCTTTGTTGAATCCCTCATTGATTCTGCCGGCTTTGAAATTGGTCCAAGAAGTTTTCATGCATACATTTAATGTTGGCTGCTTTAGCCTAAGATTTGTGAAATGATATCTGCCAAACCTGCCCAGCTTCTGCTGACCCCTCTTAAACAAGGTCAGTATAGCCATGCTCAATCTCTAGACATAATCCATTTTCTACTGCCCCGGCAAAGCTGTACTGACTTGATTGTGCTGACCCAGCCAGGCCAAAGAAAGAGAGAGTTAGAGAGTAAGAGGAAGTAAGAGAGAGAGAGGGCATCTCAGGCCCAAGGGCATGACACCGCTGTGCTCGGGGCCACACTAGCCCTTTAAATGTCAACACAGCATGGAGGGGAGGGAGGGGAGAGAGACGGGTGAGGAGCGGGGCTCTGTTTGAGGACAGGGAGGAATATTGGCAACTTCTACTACAGGAGGGTATAATTGGAGACTAACAGAAGAGTAGGCAGTGGACAGCATGTGCTTCGTCTTTGGAGATGTTTGCTTTAAACTCTGGTCACAGACAAGTGAATATTCTCTCAGGGATGAGGGGAGACATTTGGAGATCTGTGATTTGCAGCTTAATTGTGACTTCAAAGGAGGCTTAGTGTTTTGTCTTATGTCTATTACTTTGGGAACAGTCTCTGACCTTTATATGAGGAAGTACATACAGTATCTAATTGCTCTCTGTCAACCTCACCTCTTTCTTTCTTTCTTTCTTTCTTTCTGAAGAATAAGACTTCCAGTCTTGACAAGCATTTTTAGAAATTCAATTCTTAAGATAGATGAAATAAGAATTCATAACATGGGTTTTCACCCGACCATTTTAATGCAAATTATATTATATATATCGAATTAAAACGGCCGACTGGAAACTGCAAATGGAGATAAAATGTCATAATTTTTCTTTATTATAAACAAGGGCGTCATGCTCACTGCAAGCTTAAAAAGTTGAAAAATAAATTATGCAATAAAGTGTGATGGAAACATATTTTTTAATTAAAAAAATTAAAGGCTTCCTATAACGTGTTAAATTTGACATCCCTAAAATGTCTCTACTTAATGGCTATTATTATTGGTGAATGAACCAACCATACAGTACTTGTTTCACTGACTCTTTTTCCTCTTTTTTTCTTTCTTTTTGTTCCTCTTCTGCTGTCTGTCGTGGATCTCCAGGTCTGATTCTGTCACATCCTCAGCCAATCCGAGCCTTCGTTAACCACGGCATCGGCGCGCGATTGGGTGAAGGATGGCAACCATGCCGTTTGTCAGTGAGGGGAAGTGTGTGAGTGTGGAGTGGGATTTCCTACAAGGACTACTGGCCAAGCCTCCCACACTGCCCTGGTAAGACACCACACACATACACATAGACAGGCTGATACTGTATAAGCCAGCGTGCATGCCCGTGAATTAATCTCGGCAAGGTGAAATCCATACATTAACACCCTTGCACACACTGACACCCTGAATAAAAAATTCCTATCAATGAAACATAATCCAGAAGACATAAGTCTGATTTCCTCAGTGCTACATACAACCTGTATTGTTGCTCACCTGCCAATCCTGTCAGAGCTGTGAATCCCCTCCCCTTAGTGGGAGATTAAGTAAATTTGGCTGGAATTATTAATGGGCAGTCATTTACAGGCGGATATAAAAACTAAGCAGAATCAATGTGTGTGTATTGATTGTATCTCGGTGGCTGGGGTCGAGGCAGTATAATAATGAGTTGTTACAGAGGCTGGCAGCATGAGTCCACAGCGCACACACACATACCGAAAAACACAAACTGTTTTCACTTATTAGGGAATAGCAAGGAGAAAAACAACAGCCGTGTCAGCTGATTAAGAGATAAACATATGTACACACACCATGTACAGCCCTTTTCTTTGTCCTTTTCCTTCTTTCGCTCACACATGCATCCGCACACACACACACAAACACACACGTAGACACACACACATGCACCACTGGTGGTCTTTCTTAGGATGAGAATCAACAACCCAGACACAAGGGAGAAAGGCTGGCTCTTCTTTCCCCTCTAGCTCTCATTCTCGCTCTCTTTCTCTCTCACACACACACACACACACACACACACACACACACACTTTATTCCAGTGCAGCACCGACACAAATTGTGAAGTGGCTGTGACAACATAATTCCACCACTCAGGCTCCATTGAGGAGAGTCAATACCCAATCAGAGAGACAGGCTACCTGAGCCCCAGCCCCCCTCTGTCACTCTGCCCCTCCCTCTCCTATTGATCCCTCAATCACGGCTTCAGCTCACTAGCCCGGTACCAGATGAGAGGGGGGGAGGGAGGGGTTGGAGGGAGGAAAGGAGGAAGGGAGGGAAAGTGAGAGATAGGCAGCGAGAGATTGTGTATGTGTGTTTCACATATGGATTTTGGAGCAAATGGCATTATTAGGACTCTGCTCTGCCAAATAGAAGAAGGGAGTTTATCTGTAATTACCAGGCCAATCTGCAATGTACCAGAATGGAGATTGTTTCACTTGAATTACAGGAGTCATTACCATCACATCTATTTATGAAATGAGTTTTCTGGATAGATGCTCTGGTCATCTATACAGAGCACAAATCAATCAACAGGTAGTCAGTAAATGTCCTTGATGTTGCATTTTAGTGTTATTCAGTAAGCTTGCCTTAGCATGCAGTATTTTGATTACATGCCTATATCTTAGGGGAAATTTACAGCACAGCAGCTTCTTTCCTCAAGCTATCGGTCATGAGGAACACAAATTAAATACGATAGTTGACAATGAGCGCGTTGGTAGCCAAATTCTGTTTAGGCTAATTGTACATTTTTTACTGCAGTTTAAACCTTTAGCAGTTTCTCCCATCTTACACGGTGCTGATTCAGACTATTTTCTCTGCTCTTCTTCTCCATCCTCCCTGTTAATATCTGTTTCTTCCTTTTTACTTCTATCTGTCCGCTTCCACACCATTTTCCCTTCTTGTCTTTTCCACTCTTAATACAACCTCCCCTTGTTTGCCTCTCAGTCTCCAGAACCTGCGTAAAGAGAAGTCTCGCAATGCAGCTCGTTCACGGCGGGGGAAGGAGAATTTCGAATTCTTTGAGCTGGCCAAGATGCTGCCTCTGCCTGGCGCCATCACCAGCCAGCTGGACAAGGCCTCAGTCATCCGGCTGACCATCAGCTACCTCCACATGCGCACCTTTGCCAGCCAGGGAGACCCGCCCTGGAGCCCTCTGATGGAGGGAGACAGCAACTGCAGCAAAGGTAAGCAAACGGGAAACACCCTGCACAATCTGCAGTGCGCCTGTGTGTTTGTGTTCACCCTCTGACTGCCACAAATACATCAAAAAGTATATTGTTGCAAATTACAAATACTTGCTCATCAAATGTATCAAAACAAAATACAAGATATTGGTTTGAGAAAATGTATTTAATTAAAACACAATGCATTTGTAATTTTAAGCTGTTACACAAGGTCTTTTAACTTTTTCTAGTCTAATAAATAAACAAAAGAAGGTCACAAAATTTCAAGAAAATAGATATTTTTACATCTATTTTCATAAATACAACTGTACACTTTCTGAATTCATGTTTCTCTCTTTTGCCGGACTAATGGCCTTGTAAACTCATCGTAAAACACACTTGATTCAACAAAACAAAACTCAGCAAAATCATCTTGGTTAGTCTTTTGACTGTTCCAACAATCACCACTTCTGGTTTGGTCAAAATAAATCCTTAATCCACAGAGTTAGAGGTTAAAATATTCTTGCTCTACACACTGTTGCTGCCCCTCTGATGCCCACGCTCCCTCTAGTTCCTCTCCCTCTTGATGCCTCTCCTGTCCCCGCCTGGACCCGTCATGTCTTCATACCCAGAGTCAGAATCCTGACAAATTAAATAATGTATTTTAAGTTTTTAAAATACAAGCTCTTATATATTATTTTGTTACAAACTACATCTTACTTTTTTCTGTGAAATACAAATGGCAGAATACTCAAAAATATTGAAATATGTATTTTAAATACATATTTATTGAAGTACTGCCCATATCTGCAGACTGCTTACAGAACAAGCCTGAAACTCTTGTTCTTTCGGTTATTTCCTTCCAGTCTCTCTCCTTTTTTCGTCTTGCCTCTGTTCATTTATAAAGCTGATACATATGCACAAATTTTTCTCTCGAGTCAAAAACTTTTTAATCTTGCACAGATGTGTCTTCGTGTCAATCCCGGCCAGGAGAATTTGTACTATGTATGCAATCACACAACATTTGAGTTCTTTCTGAACATTCAGTTTGTCAGAATCAGGGCTGTAGCTACACTGAGGTCATGTCCTCGGTTTTAGAAACTTGGGGAAGAAAATATTCTGCATTTAAAAACATTTCATGCACAGATTCTGTTATATTTTAAACTCAGGTTAAATTTGATTAATTATACTATAATTTTGCCGCCATATTTTCATTCCTGGCAGCCTGGAGAGGCCTGGAAACAGCATTTAGGCCTTCATGTTAGGTAATTGAATTTCCACATTAGTTACCAACTGCATAAAATATAAAAATATAAATACTGAAAAATGTGTTATCTGATTTTCTGGGGATGGGGGATACTTGGACTTTTGACCTCACTATTTTTTAAATCCACACTGAAGCTCTTAAAATTAAATAAATTTAAACTTTGACAATGGCTGTGTGCAAGTATGCAGAGTTAAATGAAACATGGTTGTGACAGAACTTTTTCTCAGCTCTGGATTCATGCAGTTCAGCCTTCTAAGAAAATTACACAGCAGAGATAAATATGCTGATGTGTGTTGCCAAAGCACCAAAACCACTAAAATCCCATGTTTCATGTTTCATCTTTCTTTCAATCAAAAGCAATCTTTAGCAGTCTGATCTGCCCACTTACCCCGCCCACAGAGATACCTAACGACACAAAGATTCAGTTCGGACCACAACAATTATCCAGTCCTCTATCAGTGACCATAATTACTTGTGCTGTGTGTGTAACACAAGCACGTGTTCATTCACAAGCCTGTAAACATACATGTGCATATACAGTAATCATACAAAGACTTTCCATTATAGGCATAGTGTGTGTGTGTGTGTGTGTGTGTGTGTGTGTGTGTGTGTGTGTGTGTGTGTGAAAGAGAAAGAGTAAGAGAGAGAGAGATGATACACAGAGGGAGGAAACTATTGGTGCGATTTGTAATTACAGAAATTAGCTGTATAACGAGGACAGTGTAATTATAAAGCCTGTCTAATTGCTACTATTACTGAGGGGAAACGATGCAGCTACAGTACAATTAGAGATGTGTGTTTGTGTGTCAGTGTGTGTGTTTCATGCCTGTTCTTGTCTAATCTGAGGAAATGTGACCAAAAACACTCATGTTAATAGCATGTTTGTGTGTGACTTGTGTGGCTTGCTTTACCACAATATGTGGGACACATTCCTGATACATATACATATAGTGGATTTTATAGTATCAATAGTGGTGCCAAAGTAATACCTGAGTTTTGGTAGAGATATCAAAACAATAATTTTCTCAAAACCCTGAAAGTGGCACTACACTAAATTCACACATAAATGTCAGCTTAGCATAGTAAATGGAGGTGTTACACACAGCCATAAAAAGTTTTAAGAAATTGCACAACTTTGGTCAAAGCCAAAAAGCACCCAGGAAAACAAAATTATATGTGTATATATATATATATATATAAATACCATTTTGATTTCTTTCAAATCTAAATGGTAGAGGCAACCCATTGTTGCAGGCCTTTTTTACAGCAGACATTTTGATTTGTATAGTAGGAAAAGCACAGGTGTTACTAATAACATTAACAATGGCTCTTCTCTATTCAAGTGTCCCTGTAAGCCGTGACAGGGTGACAGTGAGCCAGCATGTACAACAACCGGGACCCTGAAACCGAAGCAGATAAATGGATCAGCCTTCATTAATTTTACCACTTACACCTTTCCTACAGTGACATGTCAAAATGTCTTTCATGAAAAAGGCCTATTGACATCCATGTACTGTATCATTTTCTGTACATTGATTAGGGAAGGTACATAGATTGTTTTTGTATTCTAATTACAAAAGCACAGGGCAATATGACAATTAGTATGCTTACATACTGTACTCGATAAGTAGTTAGCATGGAACTGAAATACATTATAATCTAATTAAGTTTAAATAGAAATTACTTGACAGTTTACAATGTACAATGCTAAACACTCTTTACCAGCCATAATAATAAGTATCTGACAATTTAATAGCAATACCTCACTGTAAACCAAACGGATCCCACTCATAGAAATCATGTTGTATAATGCATTCATGGTGAGCCCTAATCTATAGCCACAGTATCAGAAAATATACATTGTTATGGCTGAATCCACTGGGATCCATCAATATCTAATCAGCCATGCAGTGCTGCACAATTTGTTATCCATACACTAGCACACTTACAGCCGTGGCCTTGACTGAGCTCTACATGTAGTGAATTGTTTTGCCCCAGTGTTCCAGGCTTTCCTTGGCCTTGATAGAAAATACCTGCTGTTTAGAAAAGTAGGTGTGCAGGTAGCCGCGCTGTCCTGTGCATGAGCTGGAAGTGTAGTAGGAAGACAAATGTGAGGTATGCTGCTCACAACACAATGAGAAGCACAACTCGTACAAATGTGAGCCATAACTGTAAATATATAGAATCCTGCAGCAGCTATGCGAAGGTCATGGAGAAATTGTGACGCACAAACGCAATGAATTGCGAGACGCGTGCCAGGCCAGCTACAGACGGTGTTGTAGTCCAAATTATCTTGAACATTTCTTCCGCTAGGTTTGGATCTCATATCTAGAGTATTTCATTAAATGTTTGGTGATTTTTACGAGCAGGTCACACAGTCTCAGCGGGGCCAAGGCTTAAAATGTGATGCTAATTTGGACATCAGTTTGAACAAGTCTACCCACAATGCATTGGCAGGGTTTTAAGTGTGATGCATGACTTTAATTCCGTTAGTGGAATGTGGTCAGAGATCCAGCTGAAAGGGAGAGGAGGATGGAGAGGAAGGGAAGGGACAAATGTACAAGGAATAAAGAGAGAAAGAGGAGAGGAAGGAGAGGAGAGTGTGGTGTGTGTGTGTGTGTGTGTGTGTGTGTGTGTGTGTTTGGGGGGGGGGGGTACATTCTTCCACTCTCCCCCTTGTCCGAGGGTTTTTGGATGGGCGAGGGCCAGCGGAGAAGGAAAGGAGGGTGGAGGAGACGAGTGGGATGGAGGGAAGGGGAGGGGCCAGTGTGGCTTTTGTCTGCTTCCCACGTTTCAAAGCCAGTCTTGAAAAATGAATAGACAGAGGAAAATCAATTGCATGACCTTCACAGAGAGAAAGAGAGAGATTGAGAGAGCAGGAGAGGGGGGAAAGAAGGAGGAGAGAGACAGATTATGGAAGGAAGGAGCAAACGAAAAGGAAAGGCTGAAGGGAGGAAAAGTAAAATGACCCATGATGTTCATTCCCATTCAGTGTGTGTGTGTTTGTACATATTTGCACATCACGCTGAAGAACTAAACCCTTTTGAAATCATTTATATTTCAAACCTTTGTTTTTTTTTCTATTTCCCTACCTTTGGGGCTTTACAATACCCGTATCCTGAAAATGATTCCGATACCAATAGAGTACTTCATTTGATACCTTTTATCTCCATGCTTGATGAGGTGCTTAATGAGATCATGTTACTCATATTCCCAGTTTTCCTGAAATAATCTATTCGCTTTTTATGAGTTTATTTTTATCAGACACCACAGGCTTGTAGTATGGTCATAACTCCGTCAAATACACCACCAGACTGTATGTAGCTGCTACCTACTATCTGTAGCTGTGGTAGTGGGCCAGTCACACATAACATTAAATCAAGGAACACTTGATTGAAATGTAGATAATGTTTGCCTGTAGAAGTTTCTATACTACTTGGTACTGGGTTGATACGTTAAAGATATTGAGTACCGATACCCAGCCCTACCTGCCGTTTTACATGTCCTGTAAAGGATAATTAGTTTATCACAGCCTTATTATGTAGATTAGGTTTTTCTATTGCTTGTGATAACATTGTACTCGCCACACGTCTGGGAAATAATGCGATCAATTCGGCAAATTATGGGCTTGCTTTTATACTTTCCACAAGTTGGCATTCAGCATGTCATCACTCATGTTAATTGTTCATTTGACAGGATTTTACCATTTAACACACTGTTCTTTCGGCTCAGCATTATGCCATTGTGAATTCAA